CATGTGGCGAAACTGAGTCTGGCCACTCCGCGATGGCGTACTCAGTCTTTGGTACATATTCAGGCTTGCCTTTGCGGCGCTCCACGCGTCCTCTGGCAACAAATTTGCCCGCAACCAAGTGCTCTCTCACGTCGTCCGAGACGGATTCGATGAAGCCAACCACATTTTCGGGAACAAGAAAGATTTCGTCGCTTGTGAAGAGCACCAATTTGGCAGATTTGCAGTAGGCCAGACTCCAGCGGAGGCCGAGCAGCATCTTATACATTTCGGCAAAATTATTGCTGTCTGCAAAGTCCTGTACCACAAGGTCTCTTTCCTGTTCCGCTTCGGAGAGCAGCTTTTTCACTTCTCCAGCATTACTTTGGGCCGGGACTCCCGTGAGAAAGACATGGCGAACATTTCGACCAGCATAACAGTCGTCGCGGCCCCAGTACTTGCGAACCAGTTTGCGTTGATGGGTCCGAAATGGTCGACTGAAAATAACCACCAGCAGGTCTATCACCTCGTCAAGGGGGTTCATATCACAGACGGTGACGGCATCGCATAGCAACTGAGAGCTAATGACATCTGCCAAGTTGTTGGATATCAATTTGCGAGTAGTATTGCTCAACTGGAAACCTTTCTTGAAATGACAGAGCTCGCGAGCCACATCTACATGCTCGGGATGTGTAAAGTGCATGGAGGAGAATAGGGGACGTCTAGCAGGGATTGGAGGCAGTCGCATCTTCCTCTTGGACGCAACTTTTGTCGTCTCAGAAGCATAGCATGGATTGTAGAAGACACGCGTTGATAAGGCGCCGGCTGTCAAGTTTGCAAGAACTTTCCAGTCTGACCTCCTGGACGTATACACTAAATGATATGGCATTGTATTCGAACGCATGAGTTTACTTTTGATGGATTTTACCTCAACGGAGTGGTTCATAGAATAAACAAGTGACATATGATTTGCTAGTTGGTCGACGTATGGCAAGAGCCACATGAACCAGACTACAAATGTCGAACAGGCCAGCATCATGAAGATAGAAAACATGAAATTGACGCCGAAATTGAATCTGAAAGTTACAGAGCATCCGTTAGACGATTAACATATTTGACACCAAATGAAGGTTAATACATTTAATTTGTGATGTTTCGACGTAGTCTATCTGATATGAGATGTATTCATACTA